GTTCCAGGACAGCCAGGGCAACACAGAGAAACTCTGTCTTGAAGAACTATAAAAGTAATAATGAGAAAAAAAAAAGAGAGAAATATGAACATACACAATTTGTGGAAGCTGGTCACAGCGGTTGCTGCTAGGAAGGGAACCAAGCGGTTTGAGGCGAGAGGGAGGGGGAGCCACTTTTTCCCTATCTACTTCTTTTGAATTTATTTTGTGTGCAAAAGATGGGGAAAAAATACCTGCTGGCAGGGTGGAAAAGGTGGTAGTGACCATTGAGCTTCCCCTAAGAATCGCTGCAGAGGGAAGTGTGCACAGGTCTGTGGAGGTAGAAGATGATCACTAGGGGCTCAGTGTACTCTAGAGAGTTACCCAAGTGGAAGACCTGGGAGGGACGCTTAGTTTTACCCAAGGGAGGCCCGGTACCTGGTCACAACCTTACAACCTTACCCATTCTAATGCTAAGGCCTTTACCTGCTCTTAATTCTGTCCCTGAAATGGATCCCAGTACCCAGTTGACTGAGCAGACCAGGAAGTGACTTCATGGGCCTTTTCCACGCCGTACCGCTGGCTTTTCTGCCGGGCTCGGTGTGTGTGTGGAGGGGTGGGGTATTAGGGCATCTAAGGGACGGGTAGGGCATCTGCTCCCCAGCCCTGCCTAGAGTGCCCCTTGCCCTCTAGGTGGCCAAGACCAAGCAGCAGATCGAGGAGCAGCGGGTGCAGGTGCAGGTGGTGGAGCGCGCCCAGCAGGTGGCAGTGCAGGAGCAGGAAATCGCTCGGCGAGAGAAGGAGCTGGAGGCCCGCGTACGCAAGCCTGCGGAGGCTGAGCGCTACCGGCTTGAACGCCTGGCGGAAGCAGAGAAGTAACGCCCCTTTCCCGCGCCCCTCCTGCCCCCTTGACAGGCAGGCAAGGTGGGTCCTGCAATGAGCCCACTTCCCTTCTATCCCCAGGGCCCAGCTGATCATGCAGGCAGAGGCCGAAGCTGAGTCTGTGAGGGTGAGTTAGGGCATGGCTCCTGTTTGGCACAGGGAAGGGCTTGGTCAGGGTTTCTTATTCCTTTTTGCTTGTTTTGGGTTTTTGAGACTGTCTCACTGTGTAAAACAGCAGACTGGGTTCAAATTCACACAGATCCGCCCTCCTCTTCCTCCCAAGTTCTGGGATTAAAGGCATGCTCAATTGCACCCAGCTGTCTATTTTTTTGTTGTTTAATATGGAGGACAGGATGGTGCATGTACCAGATCTCTTCTTCCATACATGTGAGTCCCGGGGATTTTGACTTAGGTTGTTGACCTTGCCGACAAGCACTTTACCCTTTGAGTCAACTCATTGGCCTCGGAATTTCATATTCTTAAAGAGTGCCGTCATTCTCAAATACCCTGTACCCTCTACAGATGCGTGGGGAAGCTGAGGCCTTTGCCATAGCGGCGCGCGCCCGTGCGGAGGCTGAGCAAATGGCTAAGAAGGCAGAAGCCTTCCAGATGTACCAGGAGGCTGCCCAGCTGGACATGCTGCTAGAGAAGCTGCCCCAGGTCTGGGAGTGGGTGGGGCTCTGGGAGAGGGGTGTCAACTGTAAGCCAGCGACCAGAGTGAGGAATTCCGGTCAGTAGTTGGGCGAGTTTGATGGGCAGTGTGGTCTGAGCTATCTGTACTCACCAGGTGGCAGAAGAGATCAGTGGTCCCCTGACCTCAGCCAATAAGATTACGCTGGTATCTAGTGGAAGTGGAACAATGGGGGCAGCCAAAGTGACTGGGGAAGTCCTGGACATCCTAAGCCGCTTGCCAGAGAGTGTGGAGAGACTCACGGGCGTCAGCATCTCCCAGGTGAGGGTGGATGCCGCACGCGCGCGCGCGCGTGTGTGTGTGTGTGTGTGTGTGAGTGTGTGATGTGATACAGTAGGCTAAGTGCTTGATGGGCATCCAGGAGCCCAGGAAATCACAGACGGTGCTTCCTTGGTGCCCAAGTCACCCTGCTGAGGACCCAGGTTCAATTCCCAGAACCTACCATGTCAGGTTCTTTCTTGCTTGGCAAGTTCCAGGCCAGTGAGACCCTGACAACAAATTGGTGAACAGTGCTTGAGGAACAGCAGCTGCGGTTATTCTTCACCTTCCAGACACGAGAACTCCCTCCAGCTTGTTAAATAGTGTGCCCCTCCCCCCACGGCTGGGAAGCAGAACTTCAGCCAGACTGCCTGGGCACCACAGGAGAGCAGAGAATTGGCTGCTGCCTGGTGATAGCTCATTTCATGGCAATCATTGCTTTCCTTGAGTTTACCCACTGTGGGTTACGGCAAAGGTCAGAATGATGTAAGTCACAGCCCCCTTGCCGGGGCATTGGGGAGATTGCCTCCAGAGTGCCACAAAAACATGTAGTTGGGTGTAGTAATATAAACTCTAATCTCTGCACACGGGGGGCAAAAGCAGGCTGGTCTGTAAACAAAAACATGTAGCTGGGTGTAGTAGTATAAACCTCTAATCTCTGCACACAGGGGGCAGAAGAAGGCTGATCTGTGAGTTTGAGGCCATCTGGGGCCACATAGTGTGACCCTGTTTGGGAGGCTATTCTGAAACTCACTCTGTATACCAAGCTGGCTTCAGACTCAGAGATCCACCTACCTCTGCCTCCTCAGTGCTGGGGATAAAGGCGGGCACCCCCACTGCCAGGCAAGACCCTGTCTTGTTGTGTTTTTTGAATTAGGGTTTCACTGTGTAGCTTTGGAGCCTATCCTTGAACTCAAGAGATTCACCTGTCTCTGCCTCCCAAGTGCTGAGATTAAAGGTGTGAGCTACCACTGCCAGGCTAAAACCATCTTAAAAATAAAAGCAACCTTCACCAAGCTGGGTTTGTTGGACCATCCTTGAAGCCTGAGCTAGGATCCTTGCTATGGAGAGTATGCAAAGCTCTGGTCCCTCTGACCTTCAGTGACAGATCTCCCTGACTACATTGATGCCTGAACTTGCTTTGTAGACCAGACTGGCCTTAAACTCAGAGATCTGAGTAGATGCCACCTCGCCTAACAAGACCGTTGGCCTTTTCAGTGCCCTCCTGAACCCATCCTTCCAAGTGGTTGCTGGGGAGAGCAGGTACCTAGTCCCACGAGTGCCTTTTTTTTCCCTCTAGGTGAATCACAAGCCTTTGCGCACAGCGTGAGCCATCAGCTGCAGTGGCCATTGCATGCACCTCTCCTGGCCCTGAGCATGCCTCTGGCAGAGGTGCACCATATCTCCTTGCCAAAGTCTGTGCCTTGCCTTGGAGGGGTCTGCTCCCTTCTCAGCCCATTGCCAGCACCCAGATTTTCAAAATCTGGTGTCTGGCACCAGATTTTACAGATCCCACTTAAGCCCATCCCAACTATTTAACTTCCTGATTAAACTAGACTGTGTGAACCTGTTTGGAGGCTTCTTTCTTCACCAACACCAAAATGACCCTTGTTAAATAACCAAGTACTGAGTTTGCAGCATGCCAGAAGCATGAGAATCACAAATTCCACATCAGCCTGAACTACCCAGCAAGAACCCAACTCACTGGAAATGGGCTGTGGGGCACACCGGGCATCAGACTCCTGCAAGCAAGAAGACACCATCTGGGGTATCACAGCAAATACCAGAGTTCATGACATGGTCTTCATCTGTAACCCTAACATCCTGCTTTATACATTCAAAGCCCATTATGCTATACAACTAGCATTGTGGTAGCTCCAGCCTGCAGAGACAAAACCCCTGACCACCTATGGCTTTCTGACCAGAGGTAAAGGAATCACAGGTTAAAACCTAGTGGTGGCAGTGTACTCCTTAATGCCTGATGCTGAGAGGCAGAGCCAACCTGATCTAGAGTTCCAGGACAGCCAAGGCTACAGAGAAACCTGGGGAGGTGGGGGACTAGCCCCAGAGGGATCTGGAATGGGCTAGAAGTTTGAAAATGGAACATGGGAGTCAATTCACAGGCACTAATATGGCCCAAGCAGCTCTGCACCCCACCACCCTCTGCTGAGTGCTGGCATTTGAGGTTTACCTAACCTTGCTTTACTAGTTGTCTTCCCCCTCCCCCAGAGAGCTAGCCGTCACCAGCAAACTGCTGGGCATGCAAAGGCAGACCTAATCACCTAGTTAAGGGTAGCCTGGGCACATTAGGTCAGTGCTAGAGCATAGGGCACTGTCTGATAGGATGGGACACTTTGCTTACCAAGAATTCGAGATAAAATGAAGTCCCGTGACATCCCCATGCGCTGGGCCCCAATGCCTCTACCGTGACTTGACCTCAACCTGAATGACCACACCTCACAACGCCTCGACCGACCGTGACTTGACCTAACCCTGAATGATCACACCTCACACCTTTTTTCCAACTCCCATTTATTTGTCGGCTCTTGGGGCAATGTCATCTTTTCAATATGAAAAAAAAGCAGCCAAGTTCAACACAAAAAAGAAGGGTAGGACCAAACCAGGAAGAAAATGGCAGAAGCAGAGACAGGTCCCAGATACCCCGGTGGCAGCACACCTTTCCAGGTTTGGAGGTCAATGGACGGGGCGGTTTCTGGACAGCCAGAGACCAAGGCTCTGTTCCACTCCCACCTTAGAGAAAGAAGGAATACAGGGAAGACACCTCCAATGGCAGATTTGGCTCAGGACAGCTGGAGGTTATAAATGGAGATAATACTGTTAATCCTTCCCCTGAGGCTGAGAGATGAGGCAGAGAAAAACCTGTCAATTGAAAAAGCCTCAGTGGATTCCCTTGTGGAAATGGCCTTGACTGGAAAACCCACCCCCCTCTTCCCAGTGACCTCTACCTGGCACCCTTCCCTTCCTGATCTCCTTAACTTTAGGATGGTGGCCACTATCTGTGTCTTTAGTAATGGACTTGTTCTAGGCGGACTCTGGAGCAGAACTCAGGTTCCTGGGGAATATAATGGAAACATTGACAGTCATGAGAAATGGGTACCAGAAGGTAACAGGGCAACACTCAGAATGGCAGAAGTGTAGGTTTGTCAGAGTGGAAAAGAGAAAGGAGACATTCCACAAACAAATATTTATTGAGCGCCTACTGTGTGCTGGGCACCGTTCACTTCCCCCCCGCCCCAGTGAAAAAAACGAAAAAACAGGACAGAGGCAGCAGAAAGAAAACTCTGAAGGAGAAAAATGGGCAGCTGAAGAAAGCTGAGGGAACTAAGCAGCCTGAGGTGATGCGGGGCTCTCTGCCTTAGGCCTCTTCTTCTGCCTCCTCCCCGAAATCCTCCTCCTCTTCCGCAGTGGCATCCTGGTACTGCTGGTACTCTGAGACGAGGTCATTCATGTTGCTCTCGGCTTCGGTGAACTCCATCTCGTCCATGCCCTCACCTGTGTACCAGTGGAGGAAGGCCTTCCGGCGGAACATGGCTGTGAACTGCTCCGAGATGCGCTTGAAGAGCTCCTGGATGGCCGTGCTGTTTCCGATGAAGGTGACTGCCATCTTGAGGCCGCGGGGTGGGATGTCACAGACCGCCGTCTTGACATTGTTGGGGATCCATTCCACAAAGTAGCTGCTATTCTTATTCTGCACGTTGAGCATTTGCTCATCTACCTCCTTCATGGACATCCGCCCGCGGAAGACAGCTGCAACGGTGAGGTATCGGCCATGGCGGGGGTCGCAGGCAGCCATCATATTCTTGGCATCGAAGACCTGCTGGGTAAGTTCAGGCACAGTGAGGGCCCGGTACTGCTGGCTTCCACGGCTGGTGAGCGGGGCAAAGCCGGGCATGAAGAAGTGGAGACGCGGGAAGGGCACCATGTTGACAGCCAACTTTCGGAGGTCAGCATTGAGCTGGCCCGGGAAGCGGAGGCAGGTGGTGACACCGCTCATGGTGGCAGAGACAAGGTGGTTCAGGTCTCCGTAGGTTGGCGTGGTGAGCTTGAGGGTACGGAAGCAGATGTCATAGAGGGCCTCGTTGTCAATGCAGTAGGTCTCATCAGTGTTTTCAACCAGCTGATGGACGGAGAGGGTGGCGTTATAGGGCTCAACCACGGTGTCGGACACTTTGGGTGAAGGCACCACGCTGAAGGTATTCATGATACGGTCGGGGTACTCTTCTCGGATCTTGCTGATGAGCAGGGTGCCCATGCCAGAGCCTGTGCCTCCACCCAGAGAGTGGGTCAGCTGAAAGCCCTGCAGGCAGTCACAGCTCTCTGCCTCCTTCCGCACCACATCCAGAACGGAGTCAACCAACTCAGCTCCCTCTGTGTAGTGACCCTTAGCCCAGTTGTTGCCTGCCCCAGACTGACCTGGAATGTGGACATGAATGAATATCACTAATCTTCCAACTTTTGGAATAATCCCCCTTGGTATATGAAAATAAATTTTATGTAACTCACCAAAAACAAAGTTGTCTGGTCTGAAGATCTGGCCAAAAGGACCTGATCGAACGGAGTCCATGGTCCCGGGTTCTAGATCCACCAAGATAGCTCGAGGGACATACTTGCCACCTAAAGAGATTCAAGTAGACGTTTGAGAGCCCTCTGCAGTGAAGATCAATTTTGGGTGGGAAATGCCACAAACCACTAAACTTGTCATTCCAAGAACTGCCACCTGGTGGCAGTAGAGCTCATCTCTGGCCCCTTATGGTGGGTGTCTAATGGAAAAGGGAGATTCTTCATGCAAACGGTTTAAGTTATTTAATGTAGGAAATCAGGGCATGGGGATGCCGCCTTTACGTCCTGCCCTTGGGAGGTAACCCGATCTTTGTAAGTTCCAGACTGCAAAATCAGACCCTGTCTCGATAGCGTAGGGTTTAAAAATACCCGGGAAATGTGTTAACAGCGAAAAAGGAGCGGATTTTCGCCCTTACCTGTGGCTTCATTGTAGTAGACGGAGATTCGGTCCAGCTGCAGGTCGCTGTCACCGTGGTAGGTACCGGTGGGGTCGATGCCGTGTTCATCGCTTATCACCTCCCAGAACTGCACAGGGAAGAGCAATGAGCCGTCAATGGCTCAAGTCCTAAGGGATGACTCCTCGCCCGCATTTCAATTCTAGACATGCTCAAACGAAGCAGAGGTGCAGAAACTGCAATCCCGTTATCTGCCTGCCGAACCTCCACCAGGGAAAAAAATCACCGCATTTGTGGCTAGAATTAAGTTCAGGGGGCTGAGAGTTGCGAGCATTCATATGGACGGACGGACTGGACAGCCACCCGCCCATTTGACCAGCACCCAGCCAAGCGCTTCAGGATGGGCACCGCCCCTCTAGGCCTGCACAAAAGAGGTTGGGGGGGGGGGGGGAGAAAGGTGCGGCCACTGCAGTCGCCCACCCCTTACGCGTTCCACGTGACTGCGGTGGCGGTCCGGTCTTCCAGCAGCCCACAAAGGCGGGAGCAGCGTGGGCGGGGCCTGGCACGAGGGGCGGGACCAGTACGCCCCCGCCGGCTAAGGCTGCATTGTCCCTGCGCGCCACGGGCGGTAGCCCCGCCCCCGGAGGGTCCCACCCTTCGGCTACAATTTAGCGGCCGCACTTCCTCCTCCCCACCCCTCCCCCGCTACATTGTAATTGCGCGCAAAAGAAAAAAAAAAGCATGGCTGCAGATTTTTTTTCCTTTGCTAGCTTCCCTCTCCTAAATAGTCTCTCGCACACACACTTCGTTCCGAGACTTATAGACACACAAGCCTCTCACTTTTCCATGAGGTCACACCCTAAGATTTCTTAAAGGCAATGAAAAGTAAAAGTAGCCCCCACACAGAACCATCATCTACCTAGAAGCTAAATCAAGCCTGGGGGTGGTGAATGCTCTTCGGTCTCCAAGCCTTTGTTGAGAGGTAACGCGCACCGGACCACGTCGTAGGGATCTCCGCAGCTGCCCGCCCAACCTCTCCCCTTCCCCCTCCAGCCCTGCTCCACTAAGGCCCTCCAGGCGAGGTGGGGGTGGCGCAAGGGGAAAACCTCGCTTCGGCTTTGTCTCGGATCGTTTCCGCATCCCTCCTCTCCAGTTCTCGAACCGTTAGAAAACCCCTCTAAATAGGTACTTTACAGTTCCACAGACTCCCGGTTCCCTAAATACTTAAGTCTCTTTTAACAGCTTTCCGAAAATGTGCCCAAAAAAATATTTCTCAATTTCTCAGCATCAGAATGCTAGCCACAAATATGGGCTATATTCATACGTGCAAAACTTTAAGGGGCAAAGCTAACGAATGGAGAATGCAAGCCACTGGTAACATTACCCATGACTAACCTGGATTTTTCGTGTTCACATATTTCACCTAAATTTTAAAATCCTTACCTTAGCACCGATCTGGTTGCCACACTGTCCGGCCTGGATGTGCACGATTTCCCTCATGGCTTTAAGATAGGTACCGAGCAAGAAAAGATAATTATTTTTCTTTCTGGGCTGGTCTCAGGCTGAAAGGATGGAACGTGGCCCCGGAGGCTGCAGCAGCGAGATGCGACCACGACCGCAGGAAGGTTCTAAGAGGCAGGAGAGGCCGGCGAGCGCAGGAGGGAAGGCGCGCAGGGCGGGGCGCGCGTTCGCGCGGTCGGGGGCGGGAGATAGGCGGGAGCCCCTGGTCGCAGACAAAGCATCTCCAGCCCGGCGCTGATTCGACCACTCGATCACGTGCGAGACGACCATTGGTCTAGGAGCCAGTGGCGAGCGCAGTCCTTTTCGGGAGTTGTAGTTCTCTATTGTTGTCCACGCTGCAAAATGAAGTTAGGCATGGGTGGGTACTGTGGGAGGCTTAGTGGGTAGCTTGCGCGTGGGTGTGATTGTATTTATTTTTAAGGGAAAGTGACCTCTCACGAGATTCCTGTCCTCTAGTCCTGAGAGAGGTTTTTTGTGCTAAGAAGTTTTGGGAGGTCTGAGGTGTCCTCAATTGGGAGATGGGATAGGCACGCCCAGCAAGCTGCCCACCGCAGTAGATCTATCTGGTCAGGGCAGACTGCATAGCTCAGCGGAAAGTCCCGAGAAATGTGGCGTCCTGCCCTGATACATACTATCTAGCTCTTTGTGGTCCCAAGACAGGAACTTCAGTAAGCACCACTCACTCCCTCGCATCCCTCCTGTTTCTAAGGGAGTTGTCCCAAGGATGTTTCGAAAGAGAAACAAAATTGCAAGGACTTTTCAGACTAGAAATGTTGCCTGGGAGGGATGCTCATAAAGGGTGAAGGTGTAAATCTGTGCTTGGGGGTGGTGAGGTGGGGTTGAGCCTTTAGGACCACGGTGAAGACATCCTGGTCTTCTTGTCATTATAGATTGTGAATTAGAATTCATAATTGAATATCAGCGTCTTCTGGTGCCTTTCAAGACACCTGGGTTTTTGGTTGGTTGATTTTATTCACTAGGCGTGGCTGTGGCAGAATCCTGCAATTGTGAAAAAGGGGATAGGGGAACTGAATGGACTCAGATCAGAGCCCATAAGCTTCCCAGGGTTTCATCTGATAGAAACTAAGTACCCAAAAAGCTGTAAAGGGAGCCAGGCAGTGGTGGCGCTCGCCTTTAATCCCAGCGCAGAAAACAAAATGATTAACTAGAGTCTGAACAGGTGTGGTTCGCACTGGTGTTTTCCAATTTAGAGGCAGAAGGATCTAAGGAAGTTCAAGGTCAACCTGGGCTAATTAAGAGAGTTCCTAGACAGCCCGAGGTGCAGCTTCAGACTGTAAAATTAGCTCGTGCCCAACTTCCCAAGCAGTAGGGAGGTTGAAGCAGGATTCTTTTTTTTTTTTAATAATTATTTATTTATTATGTATACAATATTCTGTCTGTGTGTATGCCTGCATGCCAGAAGAGGGCACCAGACCCCATTACAGATGGTTGTGAGCCACCATGTGGTTGCTGGGAATTGAACTCAGGACCTTTGGAATAGCAGGCAATGCTCTTAACCTCTGAGCCATCTCTCCAGCCCCTGAAGCAGGATTCTTGACGTTGAAGGCTAACCTGGTCTACAAAATGAGAGTCTGTCTTGAAAACAAAACACATTCAGCTGGAGAGATGACTCAGCAATTAAGAGTATTTGCTGTTTTCGAGAAGACCCAGGTTCAATTCCCATCACCCACAGAAAGGCTTTCAACTATCCATGAGTCCAGTTTCAAGGGACCCAACACCCTTTTCTGTCCTCTGCAGGCACGTGGAACACAAATAGTGCACAGACAGCTATCCAAGCAAGGTACTAATACACATAAATATCTCTTTTTAAAAAATAGGAAACCGGGGGCTGGAGAGATGGCTCAGAGGTTAAGAGCACTGACTGTTCTTCTAGAGGTCCTGAGTTCAATTCCCAGCAACCACATGGTGGCTCACAACCATCTATAATGAGATCTGGTGCCCTCTTCTGGTGTGCAGACAGAACGCTGTATACATAATTAATAAATAAAAACTTAAAAAAAAATAGGAAATCGGGCAGTGGTGGCGCACCCCTTTAATCCCAGCACTCGGGAGGCAGAGGCAGGCGGATCTCTGTGAGTTCAAGGCCAACCTGGTCAACAGAGCAAGTTCCAGGACGAGCTCCAAAGCTACCGAGAAACCCCGTCTCGAAAAACCAAAAGAAAATGAGGAAAGCCGCATACGCCTTTAATCCCAGCACTCAGGATGATCTTTGTGAGCTCTAGGCCAGCTCTGGTCTCCTGGACATGCTCTAAAGCTACAGAGACACCCTGTCTCAAAAAACAAAAACAAACAAAAAAAAAAAAAGGAAATGAGGCTGGAGCGATGGGTCAGTGGTTAAGAGCACTGGCTGTTCTTTCAGAGGACTTGAGTTCAATTCCCAGCATCCACATGCAGCTCACAACTGTCTTTAACTCCAGTTCCAGGGGATCTGATACCTTTATAGCAACACATAAAGTTAAATGAAGTATTTAATAGAGAGCTGTGATAAGCAGTATGTAGAAGTGTTTTGGCCCAGACAAAGGCTGGAGGACCAGGGAGTTCGAGGCTGACCTGATGTGTCAGTTCTAAGCTTCACTATGCACATCGGTGAGGTACACAGTGAGACCCTTTCTCTGTCAGAAAGAAAATGTATCAAAAACATTGTTAATATTCAATCAATACCCAGATCAAGTCATCTTTTAAATAAAAGAACACTAAATAGCACTAATGTCGCCTTGTTCATTAAAAAATGTTTTGATTTTGGTGATGCTAACAATAAAAGTAATTACTTTTGGTTTCTTGAATTTGAATTTGTCCCATAAACAGTAGGAACATGGGGAAGGAATCCAACTTAGAGCTTCAACGTGTGCCGATTTTATTGTGAACATACCGAGAGATAACCGATGGGAAAGAACTCTAAACTACCCAAGTCCAATTTCTTGCTATGCTTTCATCTTTTATTATGATAATGAAACAAATTGTTTTATCATATTTTTCCCTTTTCCGTGTTTTGAAAGATGACACCTTTGAAGTTTTAGCAAAACAGTTTGCCTAGCCACGTTTGTTTTATTTAGGATTTTCCATTTAGGAAGGTGACCTCAAAATGTCCGTAATCTTAGACATATATATATATATATTTCTACTAAGTAGTCCAAACCAAAAAGAAATGAAATTCCTCTGCAATGGAGAGTTCTCAAGAGTCACGCCTACGGGCAGTTTTCCAATCTGCAACCTCCAGCCACGACTGCAGCCTGCAACCCCTCATTTCTCTTGAGCCGGCCGGCGCCATTTCTGGGATGACCGAGAAGGGCGCTCTGGCCCCGGGACGACGTCGACGGTACAGCCCTTCTAGCCGCCGGCAACTGGCGCCAGACTCTCTGGTAGGCATTTGGAAATCTGCGCGGGAAGTGTGCGGGTGGATGACGTCGCGCCGGTGGGTTGGGCCAGGGCGCTGGCCAATCACCGGGCCGGGTTCTTAGGTTCCCACCCCTTCCCGCCCCCCGCGTTTCCTCCGGCGTGTTTCCCGCCGCTAGCCACACTTTAAAGCTGTGAGGGGAGAGGCGGGGGCGGGGCTTCCTGCGCGGGATTTGAACCAATCGGCGCGCTCCGAGCTGTGAAAGACAGCTCCGGGAGCCAATCAGCGCATCGGCCCTCTTCCGGGATCCGCGTTCCCGCCACCTTGCCGGCGGCCGTTACTGGTGGCGCGCGCGCGGGGTTTCGTAGGTGAGTTCGCCCGCGCCCCGCTTACCTCCTCCACGCCTCCCGCGGGCCGGAGGGGCGTGCCTTAGGTGTCACTGGGCGGAGGTAATGTGGGCTGCCCATTTAGATCCTCACGCTAATTATGGCCCCGGCGTAGGTTCGGTGACGCGGAGTCTTTAGGCCACGAAGGAACACACTCGCGCGTGGGTCAGATTGGAGCGAGAGTCGTAGGCATCGGCTGGGTTGACAGGACGGAGTTTCCTTCTTGGGGTTCCCTACTTTCCCTGTCAACGGTTTCCCCTTGTGTGGCATCTTTATAGGTAAAACCTACCCATGCAATTTTGAATTTTTGTCTTTAATTTTTTCCCCTTAGTCTGGAGCTCTGGAGATGGAGCTCCCATGAGAGCAGGGTTTATTTTGGTTGAGGCTGTGTGCCAAATACCGCGAAAGGGACCAGGTGTCCATAATGTTGTAAAGTAGAGAAGCGGACCCCTGTGTGGGGGTGGGGAGATGCAGATACAGTCTCACCTGTTCCGATCTGGAGGGATTTGTGAAAGACGTGTTTGAATTTAATCCAAACAGTGTTGAGATCACGTAGGCTATTGCCAAGGCGTTATCAGGATTCTTAAAACCCATCTGTGTCGTTTCTCATATGAAAAAGTAATGGTTATATCCACAGGATTCTTCGGAAGACTAAATCAGTCAACTTTTTGACCCGGGCAAGGTGGCGCACGCCTTTAATCCCAGCACTCAGGGCAGAGGCAGGCGGATCTCTTAGTTCAAGGCCAGCCTGGTCTACGGAGTGAGTCCCAGGACAGCTAGGGCTACAGAGAAACCTGTCTTGGGGGCGGGGAATGGAAACAGTTTAACACACGTACATCTCTGTTGCATCTGTGGTTCTTTGCACTTCAAGCTGAGGTATACTGACAAGAGTGTATAAACCATGGACTTTGTACAGTTCTCTGTGTCCTTAGTGGTTAGATATAAAATAGAAAACAGTATATTTCTTATAGCAATTTCTCAACACCACACTTACACACAGGCGAGGCCTGGTTCTAAGGAAGGTGTCAGATCCCCTGGAACTTGAATTACAAACTTATGGGCTATGTGGGTTTTGGGCACTGAACCCAGGTCCTCTTGAAGAGCATGTTGAACTCTTTCTTAACCACTGAGCCATCCCTTCAACCGCTAAACTTGCTATTTTTTTATTTTTATTTTTTGTTTTTTTGAGACACGGTTTCTCTGTAGCTTTGGAGCCTGCGCTGGAACTAGCTCTTATAGTCCAGACTGGCCTCGAACTCACAGAGATCCACCTGCCTCTGCCTCCCAAGTGCTGGGATTAAAGGTGTGCCACCACCGCCCAGCTCAACTTGCTATTTTTTTTTTTTAAACAGGGTCTTGTTTGTTTGTTTTGAAGTGGGGTTTCTCTGTAGCCTTGGTTGTCCTGGAACTC